TTTGCGCCGTGTTTGGACTGATGCTCAACGCCGCCAACCGCCAGCCGGCGGCGCTAACTAGGTTGCTGAAGTTTCCGGTGCCATGCCATAAGGTGATGCAATATTCAAGAAGGAAGAACAATCAGAGTGGTTGTAGCTGCGGACGAGGAGGCGATCAGAAGTACCAGAACAATCGGTCATGGCGAGACGAGGTGAAGTTTAAAGGCAGTACCAGGATCCATTTAGGGGACTCATCCGGTCTGCAGTATTGGATCCTTCTGACGTATTGCAGCAGCCAAAGGGCATGGGATTTCGGAGCAAACCAGCGTGATGATGACCAGGCATCGTTTCCTCGAATTAAAGTAAACTGTGCAGGGCTCTCTTTCTTGTCAGCACGGAGCCCGGATATGTCAGGCTGCCGTTGCGCGCTGGTTTGCCCTGCTCGCCGTGGAGCAGTAGCACTGGGCTGGGGCTGGTTGGTGGGGACTGGCTCCATTCATCCAACCTTTTCGTTTGTCCATCCATCGTGAAGGCGGCTGGTTTTGAGGTGTGCGTGTGTGCGCTCCGTTTGGATGGTCAGACCAAGCCGATCCAGTCCAGTCCAGTCCAGTCGCGGCCATCCCAGGCTACTATGAGAAGCAGCGATCGAGTACAACGCAACTGCGAGAGAAAAGAGTATGGGCTGGTACGCTGGGCATGACTATACGGTCATGGAGTGACAGAGTGACGGAGCGGCAGCGGCAGCGGCAGGCCATCACTCGCTGTGCAACGACGTGACTTTGAAAGAGGCGACTTGCCCAGGCCGGCGGGACGCTAAACCCGTCTGGAAGATTGTCGTGGAGGCAGATTGGCGGGCAGCAAAGTTGGGGTGGAGGGCGGACTCCAGAGCCACCCGCCAAGTGCGTAAAGTGGGTGAGAGGAGGAGCGAGAAGGGTGAAGCACGAAGCGTGAAGATGTCGGCGGCCACTGAATTGGCGTGTCTTTGATTTTGCGAGCGTGACAAGTCAAGCTTTGGGCGAAGTCATCAGACATGGGTTCGTTGGGCGCACAACCACAAGGGCACGATGCTGTATTCGTGCATTTCGAGATGATACCGATACATGGCCGTTGCCGTATAGCTGGTTAATCTCATGAGGATGAGAATGGAGAGAACAAGCGATGAATCAGTTGGTCGTGAAGACGGATAGGTCGATCCTCAGACTAAGTATCGACAGAGTCTTGAGTGCCGCAAAATTCCTCACATGCCACAACCCCGGTTGTTAAGATGTCGTTGAGGGACTCGAGGGCTTGTCGGTGGTGTGTCTTCTGTCTGGAAAAGGAAAGAGCCAGCGGGAGCCGTCCGGTTGGAGCTTGGAGGGGGAGAGAGAGAGAGAGACACACACACAGAGAGAGAGAAGGATACATAGAAGTGTGCTGGGTGCGTGCGTGCCGATTTACGCTTGTATCGAAGAGAGGGCGACAGAATGACTTTGTTGGAAAACGGCGCGGCGTATAAAGAATTCAAGACTGCATTTTGTGTAAAGTAAGGTAGGCAGACAAGAATGTAGGAGCAATATTCCGTACGACGATGACAGTCTAAAGACGCTAGAATGCGGCCAGACGGACAGTCCCATTCACGCCATTGAAGCACCGCTTGAGAAGTAGCGTCCTTCCTTCGTGGCTCCTTCCGTTCTTCTACGCAGTAGGTACAGTGTCATCGCTGGTTTCTATCTTGCCTACGGTAAACTACCTTAGGTGGGCAGGTGTACGGAGTACTTGGGGTTACTCTTGCCGCTCTCGTTCTTGCCTCACCAGAAATGGCGGGGCATTCGTCCTTTCTTCCCTCCAAGACACATACCTACCTCAGTACCTACCTATCCCGTGCCTACCTCGAGTTTTCAACATGGCAATTGTCTTAGGGCTTACTGAAGGCATCTCACTTCAGTTTAGGAACTTACTTACGATTCAAGCAGACGAAGAAATGAAACCTACAAAGAAGCCGGAAACCACTCGCAATGTCGAACCGCCAAAGCCCCCCCCCCCCCCCCGAAATAAAGTACGGGGCCCTGGAAATATGGTGTGCGTCAAGACCGAAATGCCCTGTACCTCACTCACATCGGCGACAAGCCCCTTGTTCCTGCCGGATGTACAGTAGGCGAGAGGCTAAAAGCACGGAAGCACCTGCAAGTTGCAGCCAACCGAAGTACCTTCCGTCTCGTCCTGTCTGAATCGAAGCACCAAGCCCGAGATTCCCTTCCGAGGGAGCCATATGCTCAAAACACTGTCGCTTGCTACGTTACGGTTGATGATCCCGCGGGCACAGATTAACAACCTGGAACACGCCCTATCTCGCTTGATGAGGAACAATATTCCGTACCCAACATGGAAACACTGTCAAAGTACCCTAGTTTTCTGCCTTGCCACATCATCGCGAGTACGGACACCTCATCTCTGAACCAATCTCATCATCGCCAGGCTCTCGTTCCTCAAAGTCTGCCGCAAAGACGGCATCAAGACTCTGGCACATGTCGGATCAAGTTGGACAAATCCGGTGCTGCACCGCACGGCACTGCTTCCGCTGCAGCAAGAACGACGTTTTGAATGATGCTGAGTGGGCGTTCACGATAAGATACTTGCGTCATGGCATTGGTCTGCAGTCGTTGTCAAGTACCTGCCTTAGTCAATCCGACGCTAAGGTACATGCGCCATATGACAGAGGCGCGCAAGCAGGCGTGGCAGGGCACAGTCACCAAGTACCTTACCTACCTCCATCCTGCGCTTCGCCCGGGCTCCACTCTCCCACTCCCTCCGATATAAGGTACCTGTATGAACACAGGCGCTGAGGCGGACACCTTGTACCTCTGGAGTCTGGAAGGCACGAAGGGTAACAGATATCCGTAGATATTCCCACCTCAGGCCTGGAGAAGGAACTGACATGAATGTTCTTGAGCCATTTGGCAGAGGCATGAGATGCAGCGAGGTTTGGCACTTTTTTTCCCGGTAGAGACGAACAGAACTCTGGTAGAGAGACCAAATACCCGACAGTCGCAGCTCTGTCAAATAGTGACCGGCTTGATTTATGATGCTTCCCGGTACACATCAGCCTTAGGTTCCCTCCATACCCTGTCAGGACTCCGTGGTCCCTTGATTGTCCCGGGCTGCACTCGACTCGACTCGACGCGCGAGAAAGCGACAGGAACCTGTCCGTCTTGCCGCCTTCTGCCTTGGCTCGAAGTGGGCTTAACTGGAGACTACGTTATGTTGGAATCGTGGGCGAAACTCCTCTTGACTATACGTCTTGTTAGCTTCTCATTCCCCGAGGTGAACGAGGAAAAGAGTCGGGAAAGTAAAGGAAAATGGAAAGGCGACCAGTCTCTCGTCTCACTGCGTGGCAGGCACCTTACATGGCTGGGTACTTACCTACCTTAACCTGACCAGAAGTAGCCGAAATGCGCGGGCCAGCCGCCAGGCTACGGTTGAAGATACTTCTGCCTGCGTGTGTCGGACAGCGTAGTAACAAGTATCCCACATCGGAGGTTCTTAACCAACGTAACCTTCCATCTTCCCCATCTCGTGTGTTCCGCCGCCTGTCGTCCTCATCCACTTTGGCTGCTTCCATTTCCGCTCCCACGCGCACTCGGTTGCACGCACACTACCAAAGTCACCAAAGTACACGCCCATACGCCCAATTAGTCCCGTCACCCACACCTACCTCACTCATCAGGTTCATTCATTCCCCTTGGCTTCTTCGCCCGCGTCCAGCAATCCCAAAGTCACAGTGTGTCCACCACCCAGCCGCCCTCGTCCTGTCTTGTCCTCCCGTGCTCGTCCCTCAGGTCGTCAATTCTCCACAATTGGTCGCCTCCTCCCGTCAGGGCCCTCCACTTCTTTGCTCACCTCACCAACTGCTCCCCACGGACCAACAGAGTGAAGCGACCGGTCATCCCTCGGAACTTCGTCACTTTTTTTGGACCATAACGTCCAGCCCGTCCACCGTGGGCACTCTGGGAGTCTGCACAGCGACCGGCGGCTTGTTTTTTCCCAGCTCTTTCCCCATCGTTATCATCATCAGCAGTCAACCCTGCTCCTGCTGTTGATTTTCCTCCGACTTTCTTTCTTCTTCCATCATTCCTGGCAAGAACTTCATCCTTTCCGAACCAAAGAAACTCGCGTCGCGTCATAGCCTCTTCGATGTAGCAAAGAGGCCCTCCCAACGGATACAGCACCGCACAGCACAGCACAGTACACACATACGCCTGCCGCAGTACCTCCCATACCCATACCGTCCGTCCTGTCATCAAACGAATCCTCGACGACCCCCGTCCACTTCGTACGCTGTACCCGTACCAGCCACACTTTGCGCACGACTCGGGAAATCTAGGCCGGAGACCCTGTGGTCCCTCTCCAAGGTTAGCTAGCGGGATCCGTACCGCAGCAGCGACAAGCCGCCCGTGGCAGAGCCCAGAGGCAAAGACCGCAAAAGCTGGTGTTACCCACTCACGTCGTCAATCTGCAGCCCACTCCCAGACACCACCACCACCACCGGTCCACCACTGGCTCCGGCAACCAAATCCAAGGGCCGCACACAGCACACAGCGCACACTCTTTGCTGAGGGAACGCTGAAAGCCGATAACACTGGGCTTGCACTCTTCTTTCCCTCGCTCACTCCCTCCTTTTTCACGCTCCCTCTATCCTCTTTCTCAGGGCTGGATCGATCACAGACAGATACCTTGGGACTAACCCCGAACTCCACTGTTTGGATTTGGGAACCCTCCACCCTCCATCATCTCCCCCCCAAAACCAAAGTACAGCCGGGCACGTACTCAGTACAGTACAGACAGCACTACGTACCCAGCAGCACTACCAGCACCCACCTCAGCGCTCAGCGCCCAGCACACCGGCACAGCGAAAGCCTGCGAAACCACCTTCCGCCTTCCCTCCATCATCGAACCTTCCTTCCTCGCCCTCACCCTCCGCCCTCGCCCTTCTTCTCTGTCTCCAAAGGTGATTCTCTCGACACCGGCAAGACAAGAGGAAAATCATGTCGACTCCCACAACGGCCACAGCGACATTGCCTCCTCATTCGCATTACCATCATCCCCATTATCCCTACTCACATCAGCCGTACCAGGCCTCTACTGCTACCGGCTCTTCGTACCGACAGCCAGCGAACCCAATCCTCTCAACTTCCTCATCCACAGCAACGACGAGATTGCCTCCCGCATACGCCAACTCGTCGAGCATCGCCTATTCTGCAACCTCTACTGCGAGTCACGCCGGCCCAAATGGCCTAGGCCCTTCAGCCTCGTCAGCCAGCTCGAGGACCATTCACGACGTCTCGAGTCCCGACGCGAACTACTCGCTCACCACCAACTCCACCATGCCTGCCACCAGCTCCCTCTCCCAGTCCTCTCAGTCCGCTCGCAAGCGAAGACGATCAAAGGAGCCTGACTGGAACAAATTTTATAAGAATGGCCTGCCCAAGGAAATCATCGTCATCGATGATACCCCAGAGCCAGAGCAGGGCAAAGCCGTCGGCAACGGCGTAAGGGTCGTCTCCAATGGTAACGGCAGCGTGAACGGCGCCACCACAAATGGTCCCAGCAGCCGACCTGTTCCCAAGAAGAGGAAAAGAGACGACGAGCCTCAGCACTATGATCCCGTCTATCACAACAAGTACGCCGGTTCTCACACTACCACTCCTCACCACAACGGCACCCCCAGCGGATCGACCATATCAACCGACCGCACTACAAACTCCGCCATCCACACCACCGCTGCCACGTCCCTCTCTTCAAATGGACACGAGTACTACGATGCTCAACCTGGTCAGAAGCGTAAGAGAACTCGTCAACAGATTGCCCAAGAGGCAAAGAAGAGAGAGGTCGAGGGCCTCGGCGATCCATTCCTTACCTACAAGCCGCCTCCTTACCCTCCCAAGAAAGCGCCCGACGTTCACGTTCGGTTGGTTCAGGATGTGAGTATCATCGTCTCGTCGTAAGACGACTTTCATCCATTTGCTAATGTTCTCCCAGCAGGGTTACAACAAGAATGCCAAAGTCGACGATGATGATGGACACTACATTGTCGTTCCTGACGCCGACCTTACGGATAAGTGTATGTTGAACACTCAAAATCTGATGAACCACCAGGGACTAACCTTCAATGCAGACCAGATGGTGAAGCTACTCGGGCAAGGGACGTTTGGCAAAGTCGTTCAGGCTCGAGACCGTAAGAGAAACAAGTCGGTGGCCATCAAAATTATTCGATCTGTCCAAAAATACCGAGATGCCTCGCGAATAGAACTCCGAGTTCTCGCAACACTCAAGGCCAACGATGACGAAAACCGCAATCGCTGTATCCACCTCAGGGACTGTTTCGACTACCGCGGCCACATTTGCATCGTCATGGACCTTCTTGGCCAAAGCGTTTTTGATTTCCTCAAGAGCAACAGTTTCGTCCCCTTCCCCAACAGCCAGATTCAGAGCTTTGCTCGACAGCTCTTCACCAGCGTTGCCTGTAAGTCTGCCATAAGCTCTGCAATAAGTCTTCGCTAACAGACTGCAGTCTTGCACGATCTCAACCTCATCCACACTGATCTGAAGCCTGAGAACATTCTTTTGTGCGACAGCGCCTACCAGACCTTTACCTACAACCGAAAGATACCCTCCTCTTCTACAACCGTCAACCGGCAGGCGAATCAGCGCAGAGTCCTGCTCGACACGGAAATTCGCTTGATTGATTTCGGCAGTGCCACTTTCCAAGACGAATACCACAGCTCCGTCGTCAGTACCCGTCATTACCGAGCGCCAGAAATCATTTTGGGACTTGGGTGGTCATTTCCCTGCGACATCTGGAGCATAGGATGCATATTAGTCGAGTTCTTCACCGGCGATGCTCTTTTCCAAACACACGACAACCTCGAGCACCTCGCAATGATGGAAATGGTCGTCGGGCAAAGGATAGACTCCAGCCTCGTCCAAGCTGTGAACAAGATGGCTACTAGAAGTGGTGGAAACCCCGCCTCGAAGTGAGTGGTTCATGGCCCTATTAAGCAAGAGCAACGCATACTAATACAGTGCAGATACTTCAAGCGCTTGAAACTTGACTATCCTACACCCGAGACAACACGAGCTTCCAAGAGATTCGTCAAGGCTATGAGACGATTGGAGGTAGGCAAAACAGGCTCACAGAGTCCTGAAAGACGGCTCACTAACGATTTGTAGGATATCATCCCGTCGAACTCAACCTACTTCAAGAACTTCCTGGACCTCCTTCGGAAGATCTTTGTCTACGATCCCCAGCATCGCATTACAGCGAAGCAGGCATTGCAACATCCTTGGTTCAAGGAACCAGCGACACCGGACGATGGTACGGAAGCGGCCAAGATCCGCCTAGAGCGAATGAGACAGGAGGGGGATCACCGATACCACGCATGATTCCTAGCCTACGAAGCTGTTTTCGAACCCTTACGTCTATAACGAACAAAGCTGAGCATGATATGGGAGTTGGGCCGTTTGATATCTGGTCTGTACGATGGGGGCCGACGGAATTGGAAGGGCATGGCGCTCGTGCGACTTGATTTTTTTCCGACATGGGCCTCATCAAAGGTCAGCCATGTTCTGCCCTTTAATAACAAAAGGCTTGATGGCATGCGGGGGTTTTTTGGGTTGTGTTTCGCGGGATAAGGGTCAGACTCGCAGCAGCACGAGAGAGTAGCACGAACGGTCAAGCCACGCCCTGGACAGCGTTGCTAGTAGAGACGTTTCGAAGAGAGAGATGTCGTGCCTTGTCGCCAGGCTCAATAGAGCGATTCTCATGACCGACGCAAGCCTTCCCGGCTTGCCAACCACTTCTTCAGTCTTCTGGAGTGACCGCTGATCGATGCTTTCAACTTTTTTTTTTCGGAGACCGTAACTGATTTGAGTAGACTGTTTCAACATCACAGGATCCAGGAACGAGACTATGTCTAGCAGAACCGCCTTGTGAGTCGTTCCTAGCACAGTAGCTACTTTGTTGAGCACGTCGCTTACATCAGCCCACTCATTTTTAGGTTCGATCAAACGATGCGTCTGTTTCCATCGCTACTCGCGAGTCACGAATCAATCAGTGGTTGCCGCCACAAATCAAACCAAACGCCGGGGACTTCTCCACACGTGACCAACTACAAGTGCGGCGATAATTCTCAGCCCTCTGTTATCCCTGGCTTTATTGGTCGATGTCGATGCAAATGTGACCGCAGCCGCGGCCTGGGTCATTTTACCTGCCTCTCTCAGATTGACGAACGACGGCGACAAACACCCGTAAAAGAGAGCCTCCGCACTTGTTCTGCCGTTTAGAATTGAGGAAGATTTCGACAAAGCTTGACAATGTCTCTCTCTTTGTTTGTCACAGCCCAATACTGCTCTCCCGCGCCAAGTTACCTGTGTCTTTTGCATTGTGTTGCTTGAACCCAAAGAAACAGCTTGTTGTCCTTGGTCAAGCAAGTTATGGTTCAAAGACATTGTCAACTTCGAGATTGTTCGGTAATGATGTGGCTATTCCATCGTAAGCGAGTATAGAAAGACTGCCCGTTGCAGCTCTTGGACCGCAGTCAGCGAAAACAAACAGCCTCAAAACTAGTGACACCTATACCGAAACTTTTAACGATTCACTCAAAATTTCTCATCAACTTATCACCATGTCCAGCCCGTACCAAAGTGTACACGATTTAACAAACGCATCCGTGAAGAAGTTGGTTCGATACCTTTATCTCCCGGTAGAGCACAGCATTGCGAAGCCCCCAAAGAGTTGGCTGAGGGAGCAAGAGGAAACGATGAAACAACTGCCCGCGGCTTGTCTCCGTCCACGCAGCAAGACCAACGTAGTCAGCGTTGTTACTCGCGGTTTGATGAAGATTAGCGAAAAGTATAACCCTTCGTTCACACCGCCGGCCGCAGTCCTTTGCTCAAGCCATCGCGGCCTGAATCCTTGGACAATTCACGCCCTTTTTGCACTGGTTCTGAAAGAGATCACAGTGGAAACCGCCAGCTTGCGACATGACCGACAACGCGACAGAGGTCCGGAATTTACACCCTTGATACAAGAATTCGTTGGTCGTCTGGATGGTATCCAGGCCTTGTGGATGGACACGTACAACTTTGAACTCCTCTATGGTCGCCAGCCGAAAGTGCTAAGCCATGTAAATTCACATTGTGAGGCGTGCATCTTGTCAGCACTCGGATCTCGTCCCTCTTTCCTTGGCGACCTTCGTGCTAATCTCATTGCCCGGACGAAGAGAACGTCGCCATGCCTGCAAAGGATCGTGGACGCGTGGATTAACGAGTTCCCTGAGGCTGCACAAAGAGAAGTCTTTAAAAGAAGCGCAAACTTAGCCGAGGAAATTCGGGCTATGCTCAAAGATGTCAAGGCAGCGCGACAACAGAGACGCGAAGCAAAAGTGCACCAAAAGCAAGCCAGGAGGTCAGAGAATGCCAGCAGTGGTACCAGGAAGACATCCGGACGCGATACTCCGCGCTCAATTCCGGGCGAGCAATCGACCGCGAGTGGACGACCTTCCACGACACTGAGCGAGGACCCATTTGTTGACCCAGATGATGAAAACCCCGACAATGAGAATCGGCCGTGGCAAGATGCGGTTGGGGACTATTACGAACGGCTGGCCCGCCAGAACGGAAACGAGCGTGCTTTCGACCGTTCATCCCTCCACCCGGCCTTTGGCGGCTCGGCGGCTCAACCCGATGCCCAGTTCCGTCGAGACTTTGGCACGGGAAAAGAGGTGGATCGGAAAGAACAAGGGGCTCTCTGGGATGACGCTGTTGCTAATAGTCCCGCTAGGAGTGAACAGCGTTTACGCGCATCTGATTTCCCCCCCTCGATGATCCAAGACGATGCCCGACGACGTGATCGGTTCCGACACGTAGACTCCACGGACTCCGAGCCGCGCACTCCTCGACCTACCACGCCTCCCGCCGCTACCCTCCCACCGCCGTTCCGTGGGTACGGCACCGCAGCGCCGAGCAGCTCGTCGTATACGGACGCCAGCGTGTACTCGAACAGCGAGCCGGCCCGGCCTCACCCGACGACCGAATCGCCCGCCTCCATCGTCACGGCCTGGCCCGACGTCACGTCTCGCTCGTCCTCCGCCCGTAGACCCCGTGGACCCCGTCCGGGCGGGCTCGTAAGTACTTCCTCCCCCTCGCCTCAGAATGACAATGTCGTGACACAGGACCGCCGCCGCGCCACAGATTCGAAATTTACTCCCCCTCGCGGGTTCGAGATGTCCCCCACTGAAGCAGCATGGTATCTAGCCGAGGAAGAGAGGGTAGCTCGCCTAGAGGAGATGGGACGTATCGGCCGACCGAGTTTCAAGGATCATGTTGACTCTCGTGCTGCTGCGTCGGAGGCCGGATCAGACCAATACGAGAATGGCTTGAGAACACCGACGGCGAGCTCTACGCAAGCTGGTACTTGGGCTCCGTCGTCTCGTGAGCGACCTGTGCGAGATATGTCGCGTGGTGATGACGATGACGATTGGCGCAGCGTCGCGACGGTGGGGAGACGGCCGCCTTTGAGTGAGGCGTCGACGATTTATCCGGATGATTCGTTTAGTTTGGCTAATTTCCGACGGCGGTGATGGGGTCAAGGTAGGTAGGCGTTTTAGTTTGTAGACTTGCTACAAACATGGCATGTTCAATGGAGTCTCATTTTCAAGAATAGTTGAAAACGCAGTACGCGGTTCGTTCAAGATATGGTTGCCAACTTAAAGCAAGGCACGAACGTCACGAGCTTGGGAGAGTAGGCACATGATTTGATGAACAAGATTGAGTGAGCTATCTACCGTTGCAGTATTAAGGGTAGGAAACACAAAAGAAAGAGAAAGAAAAGAAAAAGCAAAACAAGACCGGCCCTTGCACATTCTGGGGCATTCCTTTCCTCCTCCACTTCTCTCTCTCTCCTCTTCGTGACCACTTCCTGTCCGAGAAGGTAAAATCCCAATGTCCATGGCTATGCCCATAGCAATCATTTACTGGGGGACGACAAAGTCTTGTGTCCCCGAGATCAGCAAGGTATGGTCCACGGTCGCCGTGTCACAATTGTATCTGCCCACCCCACCGGCACGTTTTCCATGAGATCCTATTGATCTCCGAAAGACATGGCTGTCGAGAAAAAGCCTGGGTAGAAGAAGAAACCTTGTGTTTGTCAAGGCGTGAAGAAGGTGTGTACTCTGACATCCAATTAGGGAAGGGGTTTTTTTGATGACGGGAGGTGCGAAACAAGACTGAAAGAAAAAGAGCAAATGGAAAGCCAGTGAAGAGCTCTCGGACGTGGAAGTCGTGTGCGAGTTGCTGTCAGATGCCGATATGAAGCTGCCGAGTGAAGCTGCTAGTTCGGATCATTGTTGCAAAGCCACGAGACGTCGGTGTCCAAAGGTTTCTTCTTGGCTTCGAAGACGGGTCGTGCAATAGGGGAAGTTCGGGAATTGTTTTTGGCAATCTGTTGAGTTTGGCTCTGTTTCGGTGACTGATTCTGTCTTTTAAAATGTCAGCTTGGACTGGTCTCGTAAAGCTAAGTGCCGTTAACTACTAACCTCCAAAAGTGCCATTATAGATCGAAACAACCAACATCGGGTCTTCGTTCGATTGTGATCAGTCTGCAAGAAGCCGCTGATACTTGAGAGCATGATGTCAGGATGTGGCCTTGCTCAGCAATGCTTAGGCTCCGAAGACATCGTCGCTGTCGCTGTCATGGCTACCATCGTCGTGCTGCTGATCCTCGGGAGCATCGGGAGACTTGGCTCTTCGGGCACCAGGCGAATGGCGCTTTCCAGGGTAGTCGTAGGAGCACTCGGAGTCGTCTGCCACGTAGAATGTTTTGCAGGGGATCTTGTTGGCCCAGTGCTGCCAGATGACCTGGTCGTACCAATCGGCGCCGTGGGGTTGCTTCACCTTGTAAACCTGGTTCAGACGACCGGCCTTTTCGAACTGGAAAGACGACATGAAGTCGTCCATCCACTTGAGGCCCTGTCCGCCCTCGCTCTGGGCCATCGTGTGTACAACAACACCTAGCAAAGCCCATTAGCTATCGAATCCGAGATACCTTTCACATCCGACTACTTACGATGAATATTCCGGAAGTCGGGCTTGTAGAAAGCGTCCTCTCCAGCTTTCGGATCAGCCCACTGGCACTCGACAAATCCGTGGTACAAGATGGAAACTTGACTGAGGAGTTGATGAAGAAGGGCACTTCCAATCCGACCACGTCGATGCTCAGGATGAACAAAGATTGTAGCCTTGACAGTCGGGGTCGCGTTGCCGGTGAGTCCTCCAATACCTGTCTCGTACGGACGGAGGTAGGCGAATCCATAGACAGTAGTCTCAGGGGACGACACCTTCACAAGCTGAGACTGCATCCATTTCATGTACTGTCGGTAAGCATCGCGAGACGGCCAGTTGCCGGGGTCTTTCAAGTCAGTCGTCTTAGTTGTCGCAACGATGAATGGAAGCTTTTGTCTCTTGCACTCGATCATGATGTACTCGAATCGCTCAACAGACACCGGGTAGGTATCTGTGACCAGAGGATCCTTACCGACAGCCAGGTTGTACATCTCGGCACAAGCTCCGGCATCTGAAGGCTGGGCAGGACGAAGGACGCAGTCTGCTAGACGGCTGCTTTCGTCCAAGGTAGGCGCCACTACGGTTTTCATCTTCGTGGGCGACGCAGCATCTTTCTTGTAGTCACGATCCCGAAGAATGGCCATTTCGTGGTGGGCCCGCTCCTCCTCCTGCAAGCGTTGACGAATGGCGATGTTCTGTCGAACCATGATCTCGCGATGAACGAGCAGGTTACTGGTCCATTCGCGGCGACGTTGAATCATCTCGGGTGTCATGTTCTTCTCGTCCATAATGTCGGCTTTTGTGGGCGGCTGCTCGATGCGGTCGATGAGCTTTCCAGTGTCGGTGCTGACATCGTGGTGGTGATGATCCTGATTCTCGTCGAGGAAGGAAGTGACGAGCGGGCCATCCAGAGTATAAAGCCAAGTTATAAAAGATGGCGTGCCAGTGACTTTCGTCTCGGATCGAGCGACTCCGTTGGAATCCTCTCTGTCCTGACCCGATGAAGCTCTGCCATTGTTGCTCACATCCCAAGACGAGTGGCTCTTCTTCGATTTGGTAGTGACGCCCATTCTCTCCGGAAGATTCTCTAGAGCCATGGGTGTCAGGGGCGCGGACTTATTCAATGTGCCCGAAAGAGCAACGCGCGAGCTAGCATCATCTGTTGAAGACGCGGTATCCGACTCTGCGTAGTAGCTAGTAGTCGTGGCTGGCCCCTGACTTTCGGTAACTGGGTCTTCGATCTTGGACTCGACTTTTGCTCCAGCCTTGGCCTTGGTCTTGGCGAGTCTCTTATGAGGAGGAATGTAGTCGCTCGGCATCCGAAGGGTAGAGGCCATCGTATCGTTCTCGTCGTCGTCGGCGTCGGATTGGATCTTCGAACGCTGAGCAGCAATCTTTGCCTCTCTCTGCCTCCGGGTTCTCTCAAAACTTCTTGCAACGTAGGCTCGGCGCTCGGCGAGGTAATCGTAGTCAGCGTTCTCTAAGCCAGCATTGTAAATATCTCCACCGGGGGCTCTGCGGGTGTTGAATTCGAAAGAAATTCGCCGAGCTCCAGGGCTGGAAGTGGGGTTATTCAAGAAGGCAGGAGGTGTCAGCCTTCTCTGGGGGACCGGAAGATTCATGACCCATCGAATAGAAGTTGATCTTTCGATCGGCTGAGTGAGCTTTCCAGAAGGGCTGCTTGAGGAAAGAGCCGCTGCCTGGGCCTTTCCATTGGCGCTACTCACAGCCACGGCCGGGCTGGGAGGATAGAACGTGAACCGAGCTGAGCCAGCCTCCTGGGGATACAAGCCGACGGAAGACCAAGGATAAGGACTGTCCACTCTGGAAATGCCTTCGCCACGATACTCTTCATCGTAGCTACACTGGCTCTTGTTGTCATTAGCTCGCTTCTCGGTGCTGACGGGCTCTTTCGAGAACTTGAGGAGTAAATGCTCTCCACGGCTTCCCTCTTCATGGCTGGACTGGTTCTCTTTGTTGCCAGTCTGGTTCTTCAAGATGATAGAGTCTGCAAGATTTGACGTGGTGAGGTCGATGCATTCGAACTTGCCACACTTATTTTCACCATGGCGAGACTGGTTTTCGTCTTCACCAGTTTGCTCCTCATTGGTGACAGGTCCTTTGGGGATCGAAATGCTGAGATCGAGGTCTTCGGCGTGATCCTTCTCATCATGGCTCAACGGAGTCGCATCCTCACCAGATCGCTTCGCTGGGATGAAAGGCTTTGCGGAGGCTGACAGTCTGATATTCAGTGATCTACCACGATTCTTTTCAACGTGGCTGAAATGGATTATGTTTCCGCCGGTCTTCTTGTCCGGGGTAATGCCTCCCTTTGAGTCTGGCATCTTGTAACCGGTGTGTGCTTTGGCCAAAGACAATGAGCCTTCCTTGTATCTAGCCGAAGAATGGGTATTAGAAAAATGAGCACACTTATGTCTTCTTTTGAGTGAATTTACTCACCTAGTTGTTGGGTACGGCAGTATTGATGTAGAAGCGCAGATACGTCAAGGAGTATCTGAACGAGGTTGTATGGTGAGAGCGCGTCGGATTTGAACCAAGGCGCCCTGAAGCAAAGGTGAATTTTCTGGTGTCGATTTGTAGAGATGAAGCGATAGCTGAAATATCAGCTGGCTCTCTGGAATTAGTGAAAGATTACAAAACCCCTTCTGTCGATGAAGAGGATGGACAGGTCAAGGGAAGTAAGAAGCTTTCGGTGTGTAGCGGTTTGAGTGAGAAAGGGTAGAGTTGGGTCAGAGATACATCGGAGAGAGGAAGGGAAGTGGGTGGGGTGTGCGGTAGGAAATATTTTGAAGGTGAAATTTCTAGGCAAGTCGAAGGAAGGTACAGCAGCACACCTGTTCGGGGCAGGCACAGGCTTCTCCCGGAAGCCCCTTTCCTCTTACCACCTACCTCATACCAAATATATGCGTTAGAACGCCCCATTTCCATTAATAGAAAGCGGGCTCAAGAGATACTTGAAAACTTTTTTTCTTGAAGGCAATTCTGTTCATTTTAATGTGAGGCAATTGATGATTGATTCTACCTACGCAGTATTAGACAACCAAGGCCATTCTTTTGTCCATGAGACTCCGAGTCCCTCTGATATATCATAATGTATATATCAGGCATAGAAAGATTATTATGACCATCTTGGGATATCGTTGTGGCGTGGTGAGAAATACCCATCATGTACATTTGGCGATGCTTGTAGTTCAAACGCTCGGTGTGCTCGGTAACCGCTATTGGTAGTTACTTCACCGAGCCCAGACCGATGCTGCGGGGTCACGTGTGGTTGATCGATCCATTCAGGCAGCGCCGATGAACCTCTATCCACTGCACCAGCTCTTATACATGACAAGAATTTTGCCGTGATGAGCAGTTCCTAAACCTTGAGAGACTCGAGAAAGAACACAGTAGTCGATGCATGCCAGGGAAAGGATTCCCGTCCGTTCGTCATGTTGTCCATTCTGAGAAAAGCACGTCTCAAAGACAAGGAGATGCGAATCCTGATGCTGTCAGTGAGCCAACCCCCACACGGGCCACTTTCCTACTTGCTGATGCTGAATACAGAGGCCTCGATAATGCGGGAAAGACCACGATTGTCAAGAAGATTATGGGCGAAGACGTCAACACAGTAAGCCCGACATTGGGCTTCATCATCAAGACTATAGACTACGATGGGTTCGTCGGCACATCTATCCAGTCCATTCTCATGCAAGAGTGCTAACCATACACCAGATACAAGCTAAACATTTGTACGTCCTCTGGCTGATGCTGAGTTTCGTTGGCGGCAAGTCTGACCAGAATAGGGGACGTGGGTGGGCAAAAGACACTACGCTCGTACTGGCGGAATTACTTTGAAAAGACAGATGCGTTGACCTGGGTCGTCGATGCCACAGATCGACTGAGAATCGAGGATTGCAGAGAGGAGCTCCACGGCCTGCTGCAAGAAGAGGTTCGTGCCAATGGCGAGGATGGGGAGGAGGACGACGACACGTGTGGAAGTGGATACGACCACGTCGGGTGCTAACTTTGGATTGACAGCGATTATCTGGAGCAAGTTTGCTCGTGTTTGCCAACAAGACCGACGTCAACGGATGCATGGACGAGCAGGAAATTCTTCAAGTTGAGTGCTCCGGGACAACCACATCTTGGACCATTACTAGGGGGAGCCGAGCTGACGTATTTCATCCAGGGGCTGCAATTGGAGGCGATTAGAACACATCGCTGGCACGTCCTGCGATGCAGTGCCATGACAGGCAGCAACCTCAAGGAAGGCCTTGCTTGGGTGGTGGACGACGCAAAGAAGAGGCTGTTCCTGTACTAGAGGCAAGTGGGGAGTTCAGGTATGCATTTGGTGGTTAGCTTCTCTTGCCAGGTCACCAGTCACCACTACGACGGTGCGGCTCCTCACTCGCTCTCGAGGCTCATCGAGCCAGCGATTCGAGGATGTCCTGGCCACGTTCGTTCAGCTAGTTCCCGGGCGCGCCATTAGGAAACTGGGAATGGCTAGGATAAAGACGGACGGGCATAGAGGCGGCCGGGCCAAAAGGGGGCATGGTGAAGCGTGTCAGAGTGTTCTGGAAGGACGGTCCCAGTAAGGGCCGGATCCGAGTGATTCTGTGACGGCTCTCGGGAGTCGGGATCGACGTTGTGCAACGGAGTGACAAGTACCTTAGATGGGATACCCAGCGTCGAGAGATGCGAAGCCACGTTGTTGAATAGGAGATCACCACTATCCGTATTAATAGCATGGGCAATATATTCTTTGAGGCTGAGAATGACGGCCGTGATGCGTCTACGAAGTACTGTCTCCGTACATGTGTGGATGTGGCCCATTGGGCGATTGCCTTTCTGCTTAAAATCGGGTCACTGCTTGGTCCGAAGATGCCCGAGAAGAAGAAATACGAAATGAGGGGACACTGACGGTAAGCCGCTATCCGTCAACGTCAGCACCGGGTTAGATTGTCTGTGATTCTTCAGAGCACTTTGAAGTATGTGCGTGTCTTTTGGGTCCGGGCTGAACTACCTAAGGTAGTCGGGCTTGGAAGGGAATTGCATTCATTACAGCAGACCGAGGAGAGAGATTGCAAGCCGTTGAAGTTTGAATACCGGGACATCCCTCCGGAAATCATGGTTTGAAACGATGTGATTGAAACGCCCCATCGGGCCAGTAAGGGCGCTTGAATGTCGAAATTTGGTGCAAGGGATCTCAGGTACGAAATATATCCATTGTGAGACAGGGGTTGCCGGTGTGGAGAAGCGAGTGGCCAATGCACGTAGCAACACCTCACCTACCTTGAGGTACGTACCCTTGTTGTTTTGGTTCCACTTTCTTTGTGTATATCCACCTGCAACTACTCCGTACCTTACGTAGTAGGTAGGTATTCGCACCTCGAGGTCTTCTTCGTCTACCTTACGAAGGCCAAGCCAGATGGCCGCATTAGGAAAGCTTAGCTGAGCTGAGAAGAGCTGAGTTGAAACCATTCGAGCAGCTTGCTGAAATCGTTTGAGACATTGGCAAAGAACTTCAAGTTGAAGCCCCCGCGCATATGGGAATAATTGTGGTGAAAGTTGCACAGCTGCGCCTGTCTGTGGGCAATGGGCATATCGAAAGAAATCATTTCAAGAGACCAGCCTAGTCACCCAGCGCCCAGTGCTACCTGACGTGCAGGCTGCTATTGTTGGGGGGGGGGCCTGTTCACCTGCCCAATTGGCAAGGGCAAGGAAGAAAAAAGAGGCAAGCCCAGACTGCCCAGCCTGGACGCGGGATGCAACTGTTCGCATCAGCACGCAGTAAGCATCCGGAAGGAACCTTCGCAGAAACCTGCTTGCCTCCAGCTCAGGTCATCTGTGTTTACTTTCGACCCTGCAGCACCTTACTTCAGTCAGGTCACCAGTGATAAACATCATTGTCCTCTTTGCATCCCGTCCAGACAGAAAGCAGGCCGCGTTCACAACTGCTACTTGCTCACGCCGACTGCATTTCTCAGGATTGTGGTTCATGCTCTTTAGCCTCAGCCGCCGCCGTCGCCGCCCACATCAACAGAAACTCGGGTACCACACGCATTCGACAAGTTTTCAGTACCTACAAAACCACACAACCTAGCAACCTAAGGTACCTTACGCCAAGTAAGAAAGGCAATTCTTCAATCCAAACAATAAAGTCGCCAGAGAGACCAGAGACCCGACTCCATTTTGTCTCCATCCACGACGCACGCCTGCCCATCCGTACCTAACCGTGGGCTACGCTACCTTGCCTTACGTCTGTGAGGCTGCTCCGCTCTCGCCTTGGCCCAAGTACCTTGCTTTGGCGCCATTTGCCTAGCGGCACCCATCCAAGAGGTGACGAACCGGAGGTACCTTGCACTGCGTCCTGCGTACCTGACGGAGCACTGCGCACACCTACCTTACCTTATCCCATCCCATCCTGTCCTGTCCTGTCCTGTCCTGTCCTAATCCCGCCACGGACGGACCAGACACCAAAGACGAGACCGACTGAGGGAGGGAAAAAATAGACAACATATCCTTCTCCAACAAAGACCTCACTACCTTACCCGTTCGCCTTGCCACGACATACGTCCTAACCGGGGGGATTCCTGCGCATACAGAACCACCTGTTTCCATTCCTCCCCCACCCGCAACCGTGTCATGACTCTGTCCTCCGCCTCAACATGTCGGAACAAACAATGGACGACGTCTCCAAGTTTTTGCAAGATGTCAAGGAGATGAATGCTCGCCGAACCGAAGAAGACGACGCCCGCCAACGCGAACTCGACGAAAAGATACAGCAAGAGAAGAGAGAACGACAAGCTCGCCGCGCCGGTACGTCTACCTACACATCTTGCTGTCTTTCTCCTTGCTTCCCCTCTTGCCTTACTACTGCTTGTCTCTCCTCCCCTCACTCACTGCATCATCTACCTCCCACCACCGTGTCTGCCCTATTCAACAAGCTTTCTTTTCCCGACTCGGCCAAGGCACAAATCCTACTTTGCAGCTTGCCGTGTGCCATTCGTCTTGCTCGTGCTCGTGCCGTGATATGTTCAGGTTCAGGTTGCCCTTGGCCCAAGAGCTGAGCTACTGACGGGACGGCCGCCGCACTGGGCGAGCCGCGGGCGACGCCTCAACGCCTTGACTCCTACCCCCAATAACCACCACACACGGCCTTCGTCCATTGTTTTTTCGCCTGTGACCTGAAGGGAAATCATCGACGCTCACTTTTCCTCTGCAATTGGCACTGTTCTTCTCTCCCATCTTGTTGCGCGACCGTGTTTTTCAACAAGAAGAAAATCTTTGGATCGCATTCTCTGACAACATTTGACAGAACGCGCTCGATCCATTTCCCCTCAGAAATCGTCCCCGGCCAACACCCCACCACCCTCCTCTCGAGGTAACACACACACGACGCAGCTTTCCGATGACCTAAGACTGTCTTCTCCCGGTCTCGAACACACAGGCAGCCCTCGTCCTCTCTCACGAGGCATCGCAGCTCCCGAAACCATGGACAGCTTCTCAACCTCTCCAACCAAGGAGAACGATTCCCCCTTTGACGCCGAAAGCAAGCGATCGAGCGTGACCTCTCCTACCGGCGGCGTACAAGGAGCGCGGCCGCTGTCGTGGCAGAGACGTCCCAACTCTCAGCATTCGGATCGATCCAAGAGCCGTCCCTTGTCCGTCGTTGCCGCCGAGAACGCGACCAGGACCTCGCAGAACCCAACTCCCGACCCCTCCTCCGCAACCGAGCAGACCTTCTCTAGGGACCAAATCTCCCAATCACTGGGTTCCAAAGACCCCGCGTGGTTCCGCCAAACGGCCGATCGTGCCAGCGTCGGCTCAGCTGCAAATCGCAAGAGTCAGGTTGAGGATACCGATACCAACAACATGTCCTCAATGCGCGCCCATCAGCTCCCCGGCATGAGCCGCAGCTCTTCGACAGACTTGTCTGCTGAGCAGTCTAGCCCGACGAAAGACACCAGACTGGGCTCTCCGCTGTCACTCGGCAGCTCCCAGAGACTCGACCCTCCTGCCGAGATCTCCGAGAATGATCCCACAGCGCTGCGCCGAAAGTCAATCATTGGATCTGGTCGCTCGTCACCCACGCGACCTGTTTCTCCTACCAAGGGCATGGGTGGTTTCGTCCAAAGCGCAATGATGAAGAGGTCAGACAGCGTCAAGAGATGGAGTGTAACCTCTCCCCCTGGCCTCGTACGCGCCGATTCAGCTGCTTCAAGCCGGCCTGAGTCTCGCTCCCGTCCGCAGAGCATGTACATGCGGGACGGAGCTGCTACACCTACGGGGTCATCTCACTCTCGGTCTCTGTCCCGCCCCGCCTCTCGCCCTACTTCTCGACATAGCAACCAGGAACAACAAGACGAGATCGAGACTACACCAAAAGCACCTGCAGCAGCACCTCCTCCCGAAGTCAAGCCTGAGGCCAAGCCCGACGTCAAGCTCGATACCAAGCTCGATAACAAGGAGGAGGACAATAAGGATGTGACACCGCCATCAAGCCCTTCGAAGACTATGGATTCTAGGAGATGGAGCCCGACGAAGGCAAGCTGGCTGGAAACTGCACTGAACAAGCCAGAGTCTCCGAAACCTAAGCCTCCGCCGGTATCAAACCAGCCAGCTTGGATGGTGGAGCTCAACAAAGCAAAGGCTCACAAGGCTGCCAACCCCAGTGCCGACCTTGGTCGAAGCGGCTCAGTATCATCGCAGAAGCACGAAGTCAATGTCGGCGGGCTGATGCGTTCATCACCGATGGGAAGCCATGTGTCCAAGCCCTCTGTAAGTGGTCTCAAAGGTATATATGCACCTCCAGTGCAAACCCACAAGACCGGCGGCAGCATCAGCAGCCCAAGCTTTCGCACCAGCACAATCAAGAGCCCGGCAGGCGAGGACAAACCGGAAGGAGATGCTCTGCCCGTGGATATTCCAAAGCGCTCCTCGGTAACTGACAGCCCTTCTGTGGCTAAAGTCAAGCCTGAAACTCCTCCCAAGAAGGATTTCCGCGCTGGCCTGAAGTCAAGAAACGTCTCTGGCGATGCTTCTTCTTCCAAAGAGCCCGCCAACGAGTTGCAGAATGTATTTGGCAACTTGCGACGGACAAAGACGCAGAATTACGTGGCGCCAGATGAGCTGAAGAACAATATTTCGCGCGGCAAAGCGGCCTTGAATATGACCGGTGGGCCGAAGCCTAGCGAGCGCAAGGATGAGTTCAAAGATGCGATTTTGAAGAAGAAGCAGGATTTCCAGGCTGCTCAATCGCAAGGCAAAGGCGTGGTTAGAACCAAGTCCAATGCATCTGAGAACCCTGTTCCAGAAGCT